ATGTAAGAGTGGCAAGAAGAAAGCCATTTCTCAAAGATATCCATAAAAAGTATCGTTTAAAGTTTGCCACAAGCCACCTGGGAGACACACCAAACATGTGGAAGAAGGTGCTCTGGTCAGATGAAACCAAAATCGAACTTTTTGGCCATAATGCAAAACGATATGTTTGGCGTAAAAGCAACACAGCTCATCACCCTGAACACACCATCCCCACTGTCAAACAAGGTGGTGGCAGCATCATGGTTTGGGCCTGCTTTTCTTTAGCAGGGACAGGGAAGATGGATAAAATTGATGGGAAGATGGATGGAGCCAAATACAGGATCATTCTGGAAGAAAACCTGTTGGAGTCTGCAAAAGACCTGAGACTGGGACGGAGATTTATCTTCCAACAGGACAATGATCCAAAACATAAAGCCAAATCTACAATGGAATGGTTCACAAATAGACGTATCCAGGTGTTAGAATGGCCAAGTCAAAGTCCAGACCTGAATCCAATCAAGAATCTGTGGAAAGAGCTGAAGACTGCTGTTCACAAACGCTCTCCATCCAACCTCACTGAGCTCGAGCTGTTTTGCAAGAAAGAATGGGCAAGAATTCCAGTCTCTCAATGTGCAAAACTGATAGAGACATACCCCAAGCGACTTGCAGCTGTAATTGCAGCAAAAGGTAATGTGGCAAAATGTTGAAAGGTTCAAGGGGGCCGAATACTTTCGCAAGGCACTGTAATTAAAGATAATTTAGTGATCAGAGACACCAATGTCATACTCCTGGAGTTTTGGAGTCCAAAATATGGCCTTTGCTATGGGATGGGACGTCCACATGCTGCTGTAGACTCAGACAGTGAAAAGGTCCAAGAATTCTGCTGTACTGCCACTTAAAATGTGAAACCATGATACAGACTTATTAAATACAAAGTGACAAATGGCAAGCTTTAATTTCTTACAATGTTGATGATTATAGTTTACAATTCATTGTCATGGTGTCTGGAGTTATCAAGCCCCGGTGATCCAAGATGGCGCCCTATTCAAATGAATGGCTTGTGCTCAGTAGCGCATGGGACTTCACGGAGACCGGGAGATTAGCAGAACTTGCCTATACTGTATTTGGGCATCGTCTGGTCCTCCCGGTTCTGCGCAGTGTACGAGTTCCCATGATGCGTTGCGCCAAATACGCGTGTGTGGCTTTCATGCACGAGCACAGAGGGGCTCGGCCGCGCTTTGACCAATCAGAGCTGCTGATCAGAGCAGCAGCAGAGCGGAGTCAGAGCGGGAAGGAAAGGAGCAAAGTTTGTGGCAGTACAGTGTGGATTTAAAGAAAACCAAAGGATTTAAGAAGAAACATTTCAGGATGACAAGGGACACAAAAATCCCCCAAAAAAACGATATTTCTGAAAGCTGTAGGTTCTCTGTCAGCTGAGATCGAGCTGTTTTAATTTACATTGAGTTCTATGGGACTTTTTTCAGGTTAGCCTGGGTGAATTTAGTTTGCAGTACCATGGGCGCCCCCTGTGCCCATGGGGGGGACAACTTTAAGCTAGTAATACCCTATTCAGTTATTATTATAGATCCATGGGAGTTACCCAGGATGCCCTGCATTGGAGCCCTCATCCTTCTCTCCAGCACAGCTCCCACAGAGTCCACACTTCTCCCCATCACAGAGACATATTTCCTGATCAGCCTGTCGAGCCGGTTACTGTCTCTCGAGGTCAGACTGCTGCCCTGAACCCCACACAGACACGCAACCCCGAAGAACACGGCACTAGCTACCACAGACTGGTAAAAAATGTGCAACATTTGACTGCTCACATCAAAGGACCTCAGTCTACTCAGAAAGAAAAGTCTGCTCTCACCTTTCTTGTAGATGGCATTGGCCTGAGCTGACCAGTCCAGTCTGTGGTCCAGGTGGACTTCTAGACATATATATAGGAGTGAACTACTTCGATGTCCTGTCCATTTACTGTGACCGGTCGATGGGAAGGGCTCCTGTGAAAGTTGATGATCATCTCCTTGTTCTTGGACGTATTGAGAATCAGTCCATTTCTCTCACTCCAGTCTGAGAAGGCAGCCACAACCTCCCTGTACTCTGCTTCATCCCCCCCTTCACAAATGCCACAAAAGCGCTATCGTCCCAGTATTTTTGTACCTGGCATATAGCAGAGTTGTCTGCAAAGTCTGCAGTGTAAATTGTGAAGAGGAAGGGAACCAGAACGGTACCCTGTGGTGCTCCCGTGTTGCTTACAACAGTCCCAGAAACGCTCTTCCCTAACCTGACATACTGTGACCTCAGAGTGAGGTAATTGTAAAGTTGGTAAAGTCATCCCAACATTTGGTAAAGTTGGGATGACGCCATTGATGACGGAAGTTAGAGCTGCACCCAATTCACATAGCACCAGCCCCTCACTGATCCACCTGCAGCTGGTGAGTCCACAGGAGCCATGATCTGTCAACGGGGGCTTCAGGCAAAGTGGGGTTAAGCGTAGGGCTCGGCGATGAAATGATTACAATATATATCACGATAGACACGTGTTCGATATCAATAGAAAACGTAGTCAATAGAATTTTCGAAAGTTTAACTTCACTCTGTTAGAAAAAACAGGAAGAAAACACAGGAAGTAAAGCCGAGTCAGAAGCGCGTGGCATCCTGGGGGATGTAGGCAGAGGCTTCTCGACCTATCACAGCCAACCACAAACCGCAAAACATTCTGGGAAATGCAAAAACAACAACTGCACCATGTGTAGCGTCCATGGATCTATAGGTTGCTTTTCAATGCCGTGTCAATGGCTATGCACGTCTGTGCGTGGAATAGCATGTGCGGCGCGTTAGAGGCAGTGGACACAGAGGCCCAATGTGTCTTGCCCAAGGACACAACAACAGCAGACATCAGTGGGAGTTGTGAAGTAAGTCTTGTGGTGGTCGTAACATGGGAGAAAGACTGTTTTGCACAATGAGCCTCCTTTCATACACTTGCAGCAGATTATCTTGACCGATGTAGCTCAAACAGGAATTTCTGAAATCACACCCTGTAGCCACTCCCTACCCATTACCCATATGGTATAAGAGCCAGAAAAACCACAGCACTTCACTTCTGATGATACGCTTACTTGTGTGAATAGCTGGCAATTGTCCATGGTGCAGTCACATAAGGACAAACAGAAAGTGAAAGTCTGAGTAAATATATTGTAAAAGAAAAGGCATTGGGGGATTAAAATGCTGGGCTAGAAGGCCATATTTTGCGCGTTGGTGTTTACACGACAATGCCAGGTGTTCCACATGCGTTGCATAGCGTTTAGTGTTCTCCAGAGAGAACACTCACCAACACAATGTTTGGATTCATTCCCATAAGCGCAGTGTGAAGACAAGTGACACCACTCTCCGTAGGAAATAAAAGAACAGCAAACATAGGAAAGTGTGGAGTCTGTGTGACCAAAAGAAAGAGGCGTCTAGTCATTTTTACTTTGAAGCTAAAATCAGAATTGAAAAGCTGCTATCACACTTGTAATCACACTTTGGGGAAACATAGATACCCACTCAAAACACATCTATCCAGGCTGGCCTTTTCACTGTGCCCCCATCTTCCACTGTCCATTAACTTTATGCTTTTAAACCTTTTTTTGCTTGGAACAAAATAAACGTCCGTTCCAACTGTGCTTATTTTTTTTGTTCATAAGTTTGAAAAATATGAAAACTACTAATAAGTTAGATTACAACTACTACTAATTTAGATTTGTCATAGGGTAACAATCTCGAACATATACCATTTAGACAGAAGGGGTAGGGGGACGAGTTTGTGCCAGAATTTCATGATATGAGATGCTGATGAGTCAAACAAGCTGTTTAAAAACCCTTTGAAAAGAGACAAAACATCTACAGTAGTACTATTGTGATTACCTATTCTAAGCCAAAATTGTACAGAAGTTAGAAGCCTTGTCCAACACTACAAAGTTCCACCACCACTACTTTTCAAAAGAAAAATACAAATTGGAAAAGTTCTAATAAAGACTGAACTCACCTTGAATTAAATATTTTTTTGTTGAGGTTTTAAAAGTCTTTCATTTGACAAACTATACTTTCTCCTCTCATCAAGAAAATTACTACAGTTTTTTTCAGTTGCTTCGGTGCTTTTCTCAGATCAGAAGGAAAGTTCTCACAACTATTAGTTCAACCTCCAAAACATTGCGTCATTTGTGCACATCATCGTAGCAGTTTCTCACTCCTTTGAACAATTGTCAAATGCTTTTTTGACATGTATCAGTTACTTTCATACAATTCTCTGATGTTTATAACATTATCATTTGCTTGAGTCAAAATGAAATTAATGCTGAATAGTCTAATAGTCCTCATTTCATTGCTTAAGTCATTACATACAAAATTGAATCTATTTAGTCATTGCATACAACATTGTAAATGTCAAACTGTTGCCTTGAAGGGAAGACATCCGCAGTAATGTAGATGAAAATATGTGGCCAGACAGACAGGATGGTATGGCAGTCCAGGAATAATGTATGTAATATGTACTGTTACAATGCACTGTTAGTAATATGTACAAATGGTTACATTTGGCACAGTTCTACCATAGTGCTATTTCTGTTTTTTACTCTTTGTAAATACAGTAAGTGACTGCATTTTTTGCACAATGCTGTGGAATTGCAAAGAGCATATGCAGTAAATATGTGAAATACAAACATACACCCACACACATTCACAAAACACACATACATATGTGTCTTGTACTCTGTTACCTCACTAAATACATTCATGAATAATTTCACTGACAAAGTTAAAAGACCAAGTGTTGTTTATAAACAATAAGACTTGCTTTTGAGGAATTAACTTTTCATTTTGAGAAAGTCTCACAATTTTGCAGGTTATCCACAATAACTGTTGTGCAAATGCACCAAAGCGACTGAGAAAAACTAATCTCAAAATCAGATATAAACATTTTAAAAATGACTAATTTATCTTTTCTTAAAACATTTCTGCATATGAGCCTGAGCACTCACCTGCACACTTGGTCCGGCTCACCAGCGGGGGTCCTGCAGGTCCCGTGCCTCCTTCTCCGGGCCGCGTGAGCAGCACGCTGATGTGGTACTCTGTGTCTGGGTCCAGGTGCCACAGTTTGTAGGTGAGCAGGTTCACTCCGTGCACCTCGGACCAGGGGGACTGGCTGGCCCGGTACTCAATCTCTTTGCGGATGATGGGGCCATCTCCCAGGATGGAGTTTGTGTTCAGCTGGATCATGAGGTATGTGGAGCCGGCCCGCAGCAGCTGAGGCGGGGCGATGGGTGAGGGCGGCACTGACCAACACAAGAGAGAGGCTGTTAGCAAACACTTTTTCGAAGCATCTTGCTAGTCCAAATTTGAATCTCATGTAACACCTTCACTGCAAAAGAATAACACCAATATCTCATCAGATTTTAAGCAGTTAAAAGCTGGAGTAGTACCGCATTTCCAAAGCACATAATAAAAAAGGAATCTAGAATGTCCCGATTTGAGATTGGATTAAGCTAAAAACAACTCCAGGTCTTACAAATGTAACCAAGAACAAGAAAAGACAAGCTTTTTAAAAACCCTTTCAAAAGACACCAGATGTCTCCATTAGGCCTTACAAGTGATTACATACTCAAAGGTAGAATTCTACAGAAGTTAGAAGCATTTCCATACACTACAAATTGTTCCACCAATGACATTGAAAATAAATCTGTGATTGAAAGATTGTAACTCACCTTGAATAAAATTTTCATTTTGTTGGGGTTTAAAAGTATTTCAATTGACATACAATAGTTTGCTATAGATCTACAACTGACACAGATTTACAAAGAAAATGGCAACAATCTCTCATTGGGTAAATGAGCCATGGAACTTCACATGACTTAGTATTTTAATTTAAACTTTTCCTGACCTGTTTATATTTGAATGCCTTATTACATTGTTTTATTCTCTCAATATATACAACTGTGCACAGTGTTTACTCTCCAGCTTCGGGAGTTTAATTAGGGTTAATTCCAGTGCAGAGGTTTTTTCAGCAAGCTACAAATAATTGAAACTTAAAACTAGAACAGTGGCTGTGCAACCTGCAAAAATGGCAACAAATATTGCCCCATGTTTTTGTAAATCTCTTTCTAATGATCAGCCTGTAAACTTAATCTTGAAAATATTAACTTTGGCCTGTTCATGTTTTAGACACGTTTACTTTACTGTAACGACTAATAACAGCTTTCATAATTCTTCATAAAAGCGATGGACGCAAGCTATTATTATTAAAAAATTGTAATTGCAGCCTTCTGATGATTGACGAGCTTGTGTCTCTAGACCTCTGTATATTTTCATTCCTGCTGAACAATGCTAAACCAATATACCGCAAAAATACAAGAACATTCTATGTTTTAGACTTTTTTGTGCTTACTTGTGCTGATTTTGTCTAAATTGTTATGCAAGGTTGGGGTAACTATCTATGTTCTTTCTTTGCAGCAGCTCTACTCCGAGCTCCTCCAGTGTACTGAGATCCTAATCCTGTCTCTAAAGCAGTGCCAAGGCCCTCTGCAGAAGGTAAGACACAACCTGCGGTCCAAGGACTAAATCAGGCCTGTCGTTTCTTGCTTTCATTATGAGAAAATCTTTTGTATTTGCCTTATACGTCTGCAGGAGTATATGTAATCTATATGTGTTGGTTTGTACGAGACTTGGCTCAAATGGAAAGGAAGGTTTTCTTTGCTTTGGGTGAGAAATCTTCCTTTGCATCATTCAAAAGTTTATTTAATTTTATAATTCCAATTTGAAACTAATGTACGTCAGACACATTACACACAATTATAGGTTGTGCATTTTAAATTGAATTACAGGAAGAAAAAAAATCTATTCAATTTCATTTATTGTTATATATCCCTAAATCACAACAGCAGTTATCTCGGAGGACTTAACAAAACCGTTGAATTCGCCAACACAGATCAGCAAATCAAACAGTTCTAACACAAGAAATGCAATGTTAAAAAACGCAAAGAGCCATTGGTCCATAAGGGGCAGATGATCAATGTCCATAAATGTTGACAAATGTTGTTGAATTTCGAGTGAAATTTTAGATTTATATTATGATTTTGTAGGTTTTCCTGTGTTTTGGATATTTTGATAAAAATAAACTTGTTTGAAATTGTAGCAAAATGTTAACTTGTTTGATATGATTCGGGCCCAGAGGTTATGACCGTATGAAAAATCCATAAAAAATAGGTAATGACATTGGTCTATAAAGTTTTTTTTTTAATAAAATCTGTTTAAAGCAATCTACAATACAATACAATACGTTACAATTTATTCTTGTATAGCCCTAGGTCACAACAGAAGTCATCTCAGAGGACTTAACAAAACCATTGAAATCACCAACACAGGTCAGAGAATCTGTGTCCTGATCGTCACCAATCCTTTCTGTTGGACACTGTCCAACAAGACCCTCCTGCATCGGCAAGGAAAAACTCTTAAAAAACCTAGTGGGAAAAAGTGAGAAACCTTGGGGAGCACTAGGGAAACCCACAGGGAGGGAGACCCATTTGAGAAAGGAATCCGCTCCTCCGGACAGACAGGCTAATGATCCAGGACCTACTGTAAGCTAGCTACAGAACGTGGACCAGTGGCCTCTGAATCTAATGACAGGAGCCACTAGATTGTCATCGCTCTTCTTCTCGTTTTTCCGTTCCCTGTTTGGATGGAGTATGTTATGCCATCACAACATCGCTCGGATCCCCCATTACTGTGCTGTCAGGGGCGTCAGGATGAAGACTGAGTAATGCGAGTGGGGTCACCATCTGGGGTACGATATGACAGGGGCCCAGTCAGTGAGCAGCTTTTTGACAAAGAGCTGAAGAGGGAGTGTGGCTCCAGAGGAGGGAGACGGATATGACAGTTGTGTCTACTGAGAACAGACAAACTCACACTGGTCAGCCCAAATTATAGACTGATGTACAGCCTACTGCCTTTTGGACACGGCGACGAGAGAGACGTGCAAAGTCGTCTTTTATTGAGCCACTGTTAGAAAAAAAGTAATCGGAAATTAGTCCCTGCTCCTTCTGCATCTTCTGATTTCAAAGGTATAAATAATCCTCAAGACTATGACATAGATCAAAAGTGTCAAACTCATTGTGGTCAGGGGCCAAATAACAAAAATAGGAACTGGCCAGGGGCCGAAAGAATGGAAGGAACTTCCTTTTATAATTGTTTTATTATTATGAAGGTTTTACAATACATTGATGAGTTTTTGTTGTTGTTGGTTTTATTTTGGGGTTTGATTTTTTTTCTGAAATCAAAATGTGTTTGGATTTAACTAAAATGGGACCAAAGATAGAGTTAAGCACACTGTCATATTTAACTTCTAATGATGTGTTGTGTTCACATTTTAGAATATAGTAACATGTTATCTTTTGCATTCTTAAGAAAGTGCCCTGTGAGTCAACATTTGACGCTTTGGGCTCGTCCTCTCTTTTTCACGTTCCTGTCTGACAAAGAGACGGCAGAAATACATACATGTGGAAATTAGTGATAGAACCAAGAGTGAGGAATGTAATTTATTACATTGCTTCAAAAAAGTCTACCACAACATTTATTTTTTTATGGTTATAAAGATTAGGTTTCCCTGCTTGAAGTCCTTTAATCCTGAAGAGAGGTCACTTTTATTAGTTCTCTATTTCTTATTACTGTGTACTGTCTTTGAGTAAAACCACAAGGATCTCAGAATGTCAGTGCTCTCTGAAGCAGTGGCTAAACAGCACATAGGTCCTCACCTTTGACCACCAGCTCAGCGTAGTTGGAGACTCCGGAGCCCCGTGGAGACTGGGTAACGCAGCGGTAAAGGTCCTGGTCCGTCCTCTGCACATCGTCCAGCTGAAAGGACACCACAAAGCGCCGGTGGCTCAGGTGCTTGACAGACGCACTGGTTAGAATGTCCCCCGTGTGTCTCTGGAAAGGAAGAGGAAGAGCAGCAGTCAGAAAAAAGACAGGATGGTTAAGAGAAATATCATTTCAGGGCACATTACGTCCAAATGGGTCCAAATCTCTATAAATCAGGGGTGGCCAAACTATTTTACTCCTGGGGTCAAAATCAATACATATAAACAGCACGAGGAAAAAAAATACTTTGGAGTTAATCGACACTAGGGGTGTTTTCATATACCATACCGTATGTGTTTCTTTTTTCATTTTCTTTTTTTACATTATAGAAGATTATTTAATCAACATGGATCTTATTTTCTGGAAGATAGAACAAACGACAGTGGCTCAGTTGGTTGAGCATTGGCCAGAAGGTCGTAGGTTTGAGCCCACCATGGCACCTTCTCCACCGACTCCCACTGATGTCTGCTGCCGTTGTGTCCTTGGGCAAGACAACCCCACTTTGCCTGAAGCCCCCACTGAAATATCAAGGCTCCTGTGGTCCTCCCCTGCAGGAGGATCAGTGAGGGGCTGATGCTATGTGTACTGGGTGCAGCTCTGACTGCCACCCCCCCGACCCAGAAATGAATTAAGGGGAAGAAGATGGATGGATGGATAGAGGAAAAAATAGTGTTTAGACTGGACCAAAGGTAATGATTGTTTTTGTAGTCTGAAACACCAATCATTCGTTTTTGTACTGAATCATTTCTAATAGCATTTTAGTTCAAAATAATAACATTATAAGATGGTTGTTTTCCTAAGAAAATTATCCAAATAATAGAGTATCCCAAATGAAGCTCTGATCGTGACAAAAGGCCCAAGTCTGAATTAAACGCTATTCAGAGCGAACAAGTGCCAAGGTCTTTTTAATTGCCACATAAAAAATACATGATTACATATTCACCACTGCTTAATAATACACACACTCCCAATCCCCAAACAAAACATTTAAATGAGCCCTATGTGGGTCAGCTTTTTATTAGCTCTTCATAATTAAAGAGAGAATTGTCCATTTGCGTGTTCTTTCATTAGAACAGCACGACGCCTCAGTGTGCAGTGATTTAACCGATCAATTTGACATTCAAATGACAGTCATTTTAAGGTACTGTAACGTGAAAGAGAGCCTTAACTGGATCTGTCAATACAAACTGAACAAGTATGAAGACTCGGGATTGATACCCATGGAGTACTAAACAATATATGCCCGCACTGTTTGCTCATACTAAACACAAAAGTATGAATAAGCACATTTAAAAGTGTGTTATGGCCTTACCTTAAACATAAACTGCACAGACCACTTCAGTTTTATCTTTTTATTATTTATTTGGTTGGGACAGTACATGTTAATGAACACATCACTCCAGATTGTAGCCATTGGCTAATTTGCATCCGTTTTCCCACAGTCGCACTAACAAATACACACTCATTCACCCTGAACTATTGCACATGTTTTTAGAGGTAGGGGAAACCGGAGTACCCGGAGGAAACCTACGCAGACACAGGGAGAACATGCAAACTCCACTCAGAAAGGCCCACTTCCGACCGGGATTTGAACCCAGAACTTTCTTGCTGAGAGGCGAGAGTGCTATCCACTCTGCCACCCCACAACTGAACAGCTGATTTGAAGAACAGTTCAGACCAGTTTCATGTTTAAGTCCAGATAATAGTTTGAGCACAGATATGTAATCCTCCACTTGGAAATAAGTCCAAATTTTTACTAAAGTAAAACAAACGGGTGTCTCCTCCATAAACTCCTCTCGTGTATCGCTGCAGCCGAATCTCGGGTGCATCCAAATTCTAAAATCAACCTTCTTACCCTTCACCTCTCTTTCTCATCATTCCTATCATCATCAGAATATTACCTTAAGTGCATTTTAAATCATCTTAAAATGTATTATATGTATGTTAGCCAAAACTGCCCTTAGCAGATGAAGAACAAGAGAGGAGCTTTCTGATGGAATTGGATGGATAACCCTACCCTGAGGCTGGCCTCACTTGGTGACATTACAAGCCGTGGTTGAGCGAAATTAAGGCCCAGTTTAGACAAAGGCGCTGCGCAGACGTTTCCAGGCTATTAACAGAAACGACCAGGCTCCTAATGCAAATTTCACAGCGTTCATATGAGGAAAAACGATGTAGTTCTAGCGCCCGGTCAGTAGTGGGCAGAGGAACTTTACAACACGACGCACGTGAACCCCAGCGCCCCACCAGCAGTATACTCACTTTCTCTGGAAGACGTGAAAGATGCACCAACATCATTCTGCATTTTAACAGCAGCTGCGAAAATAGAAACTGACCCTAGAGCTTTGTGTGGTTTCGTTTGGACGAACGAAGGTGTAGAATTATCCTCTGTGTAGCATTCGAAGCACACGTAGCTAGTAACTGTACCCACTGCCATTGTTGTTTACGTTTGTTCTCGGCTCCTGCGCATGTCCAAATTTACTTGCGGGGAGCAGTGGGGAGGCGGGGGTCAGAGCAGGCAGGGATTTCACACCTTTTTCCCTCACGCGGGTGTGAAAGAGAGCCCCCGCTGAGCAGCATATCTGAGGCTGAGTTTACACGGAGACAATGTGGCAGTAAAACGGTATAGTTGGATGTCGGTTTCTACCAACCGTTCACACGAAGACTGTGTTTCAGGGGGGTGAAAACGTAAGTGTTCAGATCCAGCCTGCAGAGTGGGACAACTCAGATACGCTGCACAGCAGGGAGCTCTTTAACACCCGCGAGAGGGGAAAGGTGTGAAATCCCCTTGTGCTCTGACCCCCGCCTCCCGGTGCTCCCTGCACGTAAACTTGGACATGCACAGTTGCGGAGAACAAACAAAAACAATGGCGGCGGTCACACTAACTAGCTTTGTGGGCTTCCAGCGCAGGACAGAGGATAATTCTACTCCTTCGTTCGTCCAAACGAGACCACGCAAAGCTCTAGGTTCAGTTTCCATTTTTACAGATGCTGTTAAAATGCAGAATGATGTTGGTGCGTTCTGAGGGTCTGGTACAGGAAGTGAGTACACTGCCGAGAGGTGGGCTGGGGGTCGTGTGAGTGTTGTAAAGTTTCTCTGCCCACTACTGGCCGGGCGCTAGAACTACGTCTTTTTTCAACGTCATGTGAACGCTGAGAAATTTGCATTAGGAGCCTGGTCGTTTCTGTTAATAGCCTGGAAACGTCTGCGCAGCGTCTCAGTTTAAACAGGGCCTGAGCTGTCCCAGTCTGCAGCCTGGATCTGAACACTTTTCACCCCCCTGGAACACAGTCTCCGTATAAACGGGAGGTAGCAACCGATATCCAACTACAGCGTTTTACTGCTGCATTGTCTCCGTGTAAACTGGGCCAAGGACAACAAGATAGCAGCAAAGAGCCATGTCGACCGTACGAGGCGCCATCTTTGTTGTGTTTTTCAACAACAACAACAACAACAAAACATAAATATATGTATATGTATATTGTAAATAGTAACTGTAACTCTATTTTAAATTTAAATTTATTCTTTAGAAGTGTTTTTTATTCTTATTTTTATTATCTCTTTTTGACTGTTGCACTGAGCCAAAGCAATTTCCTAGTCTGTGACCTCCTGTTACTTACGTGGCAATAAAAAATGATTCTGATTCTGATATTTGTTGTCAGAAACAAAATGTATGAGCCATCTTCTCAACTGTAGACATGTGGATTGTAAAGGAAACATGTTTGAACTTTGTAAACCGCGATAAACAGAGAAAACAGTTCGATAGCAGTGCACGGGCTTCTCCCACAGTGAGCTATGGGCTTTTACGTCTTCCAAGAGAGGGTCGCCTCACAGCGCACCTCTCTGTCAATTATGAGAAGAATATGGCGAAAATCTGCGAAGTCAAGGGTAAAATAAATGAAATAAGACAAAGTTACATCGAAATAATTACAATAGCACAAACGATTTGATATAGTGACCAAGTATTATCGTTTCCATTTTATTCTTTTGTCTTTCCATGATCGCTGTGAGGCCGGGCCTCACCTGCCTCATCTGGCCGCACGACACTGATAGTGTTGTATTATTTAGAAATGTATTAAATCAAAACGGATTGAAAGTCTCCTGTATCTAGCTATGTATTGTATGAGGAAGAAGTACCTTCAGACAAAGGTTTACCTCAATACAATTCAATCTTTTGTATTCCATTTCAGGTGAGAAATTCCTTGTCTTTTCCCTAATCTGAGGCCCTGTTTATACTGAGACGCTGCGCAGACATTTCCAGGCTATTAACAGAAACGACCAGGCTCCTAATGCAAATTTCTCAGCGTTCACGAGGTTGAAAAACGATGTAGTTCTAGCGCCCGGCCAGTAGTGGGCAGAGAAACTTTACAACACGACACACGCAACCCCCAGGCCCCCTCCCGGCAGTATATTCACTTCCTGTGCCAGACCCTCAGAAAGTACCAACATCATTCTGCATTTTAACAGCAGCTGTGAACATGGGAACTGAACCTAGAGCTTCGCGTGGTCTCGTTTGGACGAACGAAGGAGTAGAATTATCCTCTGTCCCGCGCTGGAAGCCCACGTAGCTAGTTAGTGCGCGCGGCGCCATTGTTGTTTTTGTTTGTTCTCCGCTCCTGCGCATGTCCAAATTTATGTGCGGGGAGCAGCGCGGAGGTGGGGGTCAGAGCAGAGGGGGATTTCACACCTTTCCCCTCTCGCGGGTGTTAAAGAGCTCCCCGCTGTGCAGCGTTTCTGAGTTGTCCCACTCTGCAGGCTGGATCTGAACACTTACGTTTTCACCCCCCTGGAACACAGTCTTCGTATGAACGGTTGGTAGCAACCGACATCCAACTATACCGTTTTACTGCCACAATGTCTCCGTGTAAACTCAGCCTAAGTCAAACAATTGGAAAACCTGTGTTAAAGGCACAAATAAAGTTAACAAACAATATAATTTAAGCATTTAATTTAATTGACTTTCATTTGGTGAAAGTCAATTAGATTAAATGCAACTATGACCATATTTTGTATTTATTCTTAGAGTGTACATTTTACTTCAAAAGTTTATGTTCTCTTCTGTATACATCGAGAGAAAAACAACATTTATTTGACGTCCATATTCCTGTGAAAAGTGAAAGGAAAGAATGAAAGTTCACCTTCTGCTGCTGCTGTTGTTGCTCTCCTTTGCATTGCTCACATTGTTCCCCACCATTAAAACTCTGTCAACACCTCACAAACACACATCGATCCAGGCGCATTCGGCCCCAAGTTTTGAAATGGTAGCTACGTTTTTCTCCACTCTTTTCATGTGGCTGTACTAAGTGAATCCAAAGCACGTGTGCAGATAACAAAGAGACGTCTGGGCTCCTCTGGGCCTTGAGAAAACATGGTCCAAACACTCATCAGCAACTCTGTGCTATACACTGCGGCTTGTATACAAAAGCCACTGTGTGTGTAATGTGTGTAGGAGTGTAATGTGTGTGTATGTTTATGAATGATTCAAGTGACAACATGCTTATGTCTGTTATATAGTAATCATCTAGACCAGGGGTCACCAAATGGCGGACCGCGGTCCAGGTCCGGACCCCGAGACCCTTTTCTCTGGACGTCCGTGTTTTTTTTGTACAAAAGTATATTATTACAATTATGTGTCAAATTTTCACCAAAAGCGATTTTTAAACAGGCAGGCGCGAGGGCGGCTATGTGGGGTCCTTCGAGAAAACTTTACGGAGCTGTGAAAATAACTTTAGCAGTGTCTCCGAGTGAGAGTCAGAGACGTGAAAGAGACGGGAATGACCCATGGGCGCTGTGTACGGAGCGATGGACGCTCGCGTTCAGCTGCTCACACTGACTGTGTATGAGCAAAGGAGAAGGAGGTGCGAGACAGAGGTGTGTGAGGAGGAGCAGCGAGGAGGAGCGACACAGAGGTACACATCAAAAACATATTAAAAGCATTAACAAACAGCGTATGCCCTACTTTAGTGCTCACTGAGTGCAGTGGATTTCTGGCATAAAAAGCCTTGTTGTGGTCAGAGTGTGTAGAGGAGGAGGAGGTCAGAGTGTGTGTAGAGGAGGAGGACGTCAGAGTGTGTGTAGAGGAGGAGGAGGTCAGAGTGTGAGGAGGTCGAGGAGGTCAGAGTGTGTAGAGGAGGAGGTCAGAGTGTGTGTAGAGGAGGAGGAGGTCAGAGTGTGTGTAGAGGAGGAGGAGGTCAGAGTGTGAGGAGGTCAGAGTGTGAGGAGGAGGTCAGAGTGTGTGTAGAGGAGGAGGAGGTCAGAGTGTGAGGAGGTCAGAGTGTGAGGAGGAGGTCAGAGTGTGAGGAGGAGGAGGAGGTCAGAGTGTGAGGAGGTCGAGGAGGTCAGAGTGTGAGGAGGAGGTCAGAGTGTGTGTAGCGGAGGAGGAGGTCAGAGTGTGTGGAGGAGGAGGAGGAGGTCAGAGTGTGTGTAGAGGAGGAGGAGGTCAGAGTGTGTGTAGAGGAGGAGGAGGTCAGAGTGTGTGTAGAGGAGGAGGAGGTCAGAGTGTGTGAGGAGGAGGTCAGAGTGTGTGTGGAGGAGGAGGAGGTCAGAGTGTGAGGAGGAGGTCAGAGTGTGTGTGGAGGAGGAGGAGGTCAGAGTGTGTGGAAGAGGTCATAGTGTGAGGAGGAGGAGGAAGTCAGAGTGTGAGGAGGAGGAGGGGGTCATAGTGTGAGGAGGAGGAGGGGGTCAGAGTGTGAGGAGGAGGAGGGGTCAGAGTGTGAGGAGGAGGAGGGGGTCATAGTGTGAGGAGGAGGAGGGGGTCAGAGTGTGAGGAGGAGGAGGAGGTCAGAGTGTGAGGAGGAGGAGGGGGTCAGAGTGTGAGGAGGGGGTCAGAGTGTGAGGAGGAGGAGGAGGTCAGAGTGTGAGGAGGAGGAGGTCAGAGTGTGAGGAGGAGGAGGTCAGAGTGTGAGGAGGAGGTCAGAGTGTGAGGAGGAGGAGGAGGTCAGAGTGTGAGGAGGAGGAGGTCAGAGTGTGAGGAGGAGGAGGTCAGAGTGTGAGGAGGGGGTCAGAGTGTGAGGAGGAGGAGGTCAGAGTGTGAGGAGGAGGTCAGAGTGTGAGGAGGAGGAGGAGGAGGTCAGAGTGTGAGGAGGAGGAGGAGGTCAGAGTGTGAGGAGGAGGTCAGAGTGTGAGGAGGAGGAGGTCAGAGTGTGAGGAGGAGGAGGTCAGAGTGTGAGGAGGAGGAGGAGGTCAGAGTGTGAGGAGGAGGAGGTCAGAGTGTGAGGAGGAGGAGGTCAGAGTGTGAGGAGGAGGAGGTCAGAGTGTGAGGAGGAGGAGGTCAGAGTGTGAGGAGGAGGAGGTCAGAGTGTGAGGAGGAGGAGGTCAGAGTGTGGAGGAGGAGGAGGTCAGAGTGTGAGGAGGAGGAGGTCAGAGTGTGAGGAGGAGGAGGTCAGAGTGTGAGGAGGAGGAGGTCAGAGTGTGGATCCCCTGATCCTCCACAATCATCATGTGTTGCAGCCTCTACTCTGAGAGTTTGGGAGAGGTTTGTGGTGTGTTGTGTAGAAATAAACAAAGTACATTGCTGTTATGTGTGAATTATACACATCTCTATTTAGATTGTATTCATTTTTTTTTTTTCAAATAGTTCTTACTACTATAGTCGTTGTTTAAGGTTGAAGCTTGAATGGATTTATATGAAATAAATCCGTGTATCATTCGTTCTTTTGATTTTCTAAATAAAACCAACATTGAAAAAACAAATAACGAGGGATGTTTTTGATTCTCAATATTTGAATTTAATGCAAAATTGAAATATCGGTTTGTTTTTGGTTTTCTGTGGATCCAATTAAAACGAAAATGCAGTAAACCAATAATGATCGTCTAAATTACTTTTTGCAATTTCCATTTGAAACACAAGAATCCCCCGGAAGTGATTCGCAAGTGCGCACCCCGCAGGTAAACAGTGGAGTAGCGGTGGAGATGAACTAAATGATGGGTGCGTTGGAAGACTTTGCAGATACAGCGATAGAATGGTTCTAAAACATTCAAACTCATGCAGAAATATCAACCACGTTACACCGACTAGGTTTGTCCAAATGTCAAGTCATCAGCTGAGTCATGTCCCTTCTTTTTGATACAGTGGTTAATCACGAAAGCAAACTTTTTGAAGTGGCTCAGAGTAAGGTATTCTGAGTAAATGTATTCATTAAACATGGATCATGTTCCTGCCCAATATATACATACATATATATATTTTTACATATCAGCCGCCTTAAAACTATTGCTTCTCCATCTCTTTTTCCTGGAATAATTTTATTGCAACATTCAAGAGGGATTCTGTCTCCCGAGGCTCAGGAATCACAGCTTGTTGTGTTTTGGCAAATTATGAAGGCCAAAGACTAAATTCATCATGTATGTAAATCTTCTGTGTGTCTGTTCCAGTGTAAATATTTTTGATTTGTTTGTTCCCAAATTAAAACACACTTGGACACAATTCTGTACATTTTTTTTCTAAATTGTGTTGAATAGCAATGGAAAACCCGTTAAAACAAATACTGTTAGTGGATTATGTATCAATAGATTTATGAATTAGGAAATGACATTCTTAACTAAACAAGACTGTAAAATGACAAGTTGTGTATTTGAATGTACCTTTACAGAACAACTTACACCTCAGACTTCCTTTCAGCAGCAACATGGGTCCAATTTTATTTAGACTTTACTAAGGACTTACATGCAAGCACAGAATCCAGAGCTAAGAATGAAAGAATAAAAAAAAAAAAAGCTGTGTTAAAAAGACACATAATCACATATTTACAGCAAGTCACACATACAAAGAAGCCAGTGACTCCAAAGTTTAGAAGTGAACCTGACTGAGCTGATGTAAGGGCAAACCAGGGACTGTACTATACTATTAGGTACCATCATGACTCTACACATAAACCGATAGTAGCAGTGACGTAGAAAAGGAGCGCACACTGCACTCAGCAAACATCTGACTGGACGACTGTGTCTGGGATCTTCAGCAGCATCCTCATTCAGTCATAGGAAACTGTTCACCTCTGCAGACTGACTGCTTGTAGCTCCGCCACAGTTGGTTTGTGAATAAAGGAGCCCAAAAAGACTGGAACAAGGAGGTTTATACATTCACAGAACACATGTTAGACTTCCTAACCAGCATGTTAGATTGACCACATAGTTTACATCTGTGAGGTCACTGCGTGTGTAATGCCCATTAAGACCAGGACAACTGGATTTAAGAACAGTTTTTACACTTTCAAATGTGACAGAACATAATGTACACTAATGAGTACGTGCTTTTTCATGCAATGATTCTAATTTTGTAACATAAATTTACAATGATAAACACGAGTTGAAAGTTTAAAATGTAAAGGAACAAAAAGGAGATTTGTAGATCAGTTATTATTAATTTTATTGCATTGACATAAACACATCCATCTTTGCAGATCACTGGTACAGGCCAAGGCTGGGAGTAGTGTGAAGTCTGAAACCTTTACCTGCTGCACACCCAGTGAGATCTAAAACAGAAAAGTGGGTTTAGAACAGACATATAATTATTACTTGTTATAACTTAACTATCTTATAAAGTCAGAAGAGAAATAGTAACCACCAAACAGAAAGATGCTCTGCTAGTCTTCTATCAGGACAGGAACTCAAGCTGAACATGAGCCCAGCGGCTTTGACTGTTTCCAACCTGCAGTCTTTCTGACTGTTTCCAACCTGCAGTCTTTCTGACTGTTTCAAAGCTGCAGTCTTTCTGACTGTTTCACACCTGCAGTCTTTCTGACTGTTTCCAACCTGCAGTCTTTCTGACTGTTTCAAAGCTGCAGTCTTTCTGACTGTTTCCAACCTGCAGTCTTTCTGACTGTTTCAAACCTGCAGTCTTTCTGACTGTTTCAAACCTGCAGTCTTTCTGACTGTTTCAAACCTGCAGTCTTTCTGACTGTTTCAAACCTGCAGTCTTTCTGACTGTTTCAAACCTGCAGTCTTTCTGACTGTTTCAAACCTGCAGTCTGAGGGCTCCTCGTTTCTCTTCATAAGCCTGAAGCATCTAGCTCTAACTACTGTCCCTCGACAATAATTGAGAATGAAGCAGAAACAAAGCACAATTGAATGGTTAAGGTACATCTAGCATCATCTTTTATTTACTAAAATTTAGCATAATTACTTTCACCAATACACAAACATATCATGTCCTTATATAATATGAAAGTCTATAACATACATTTATAATAATAAAGCACTCACATTAGGTACATTTGTTACATGTGTAACGCTAAGTGTTTCATGTTTGTCGGAGCTAATGCTAACTTAGCTGTTAGCGCTAGTTGCTAAGTTATGTCTTACCTTGACACTTGTGTATATATTTTTCATCGAAGAACCCCTTCTCTCGTGAATCTGAGAATTCTCATCTGCGATGGTCTCTGCAGCAGCGAACGAAAAAGCTGGTAATCTGACTGATGTTGAGGAGAGTTTTAAGTAGGGATGTAAATCGGTGACCGGTTAACCGGTGGTTGACCGTCACAGCGTTAACCGGTCAAAGCTGTCGGTTAAAAATAAGAAAAAGCGGAGAGGGGAGGTCTCTTCATAACGCTATTTTAAGCCCTATTTGCACGATGTGACGAGCGGGTCCCTATCTAGCTGTGTGCGTCAGTGCATTAGTAGACTACGGGCGACTTTCATGGCGCACGCTCCACATATGCACGCAGCCACACGCGCGCGCGCACACACACACACACATACACACACAAACACTTTCCCCCCCTCCATACGTAACATCCACACGCATCATCTCTCCCCTCTGTTACCGCCAAAGTTCCACACTAGTGCAGGTCAGAACTACATTGGAGCTTATATTTACACACACACACATACATGTATTGTACACACACACACATACACACATACATACACACATGTATTGTACACACACACATACCGGTCTGTCGCGCTCCTCTGTGTCTCGCAGCCCAAAGAATCCTCGCAAATACGCGGCTTCAGTCAAACACATGAAACCTGTTTGTGCTGCTGGTCCTTGTCATTAGATCAGATCCACACACATCACTTTTAAACTTTAGCGGAGACCTGCGAGACGCGGCTCGTCACTCGCTGCCCTGACCATGTGGACGAGCCGTCTTTTGCTTAAAAATGCTTTACCCGCAGCACAGTATGGGAAGATTAAAAAAGCAGTTCTCTGTGCGCAAAGGTGCCGAAGCTGTTGCGGGTTTTGGCGCCGCTGTCTCAGCTCTGATCTAGTAGAACGCATAGATAAACTTATGAAAAGTACGCGGCTCGAAATGGCTGCTATTTCAAAGAACGTGGAATATTTTTAACTACGCGGTTAACCGGTTTCAACCGGTTAATGAGGCTCGGTGGTCGGTCATGAAAATGCATAGTTTTTTACATCCCTAGTTTTAAGAGACATTTCTCCTACAACCAGCGCTAACAAGGTGCGATCCAAGTACCTGGAGGCGACACTTCCTGGTCTCGTGACAAACGCGCACTTTAGAATCACTTCCGGGGGACGTTTGTGTTTCAAAGGAAAATCGCAAAATGTAATTTAGACGGTCATTATTGGTTTACTGCATTTTCGTTTTAATTGGATCCACAGAAAACAAAAAAACAAACCAATATTTCAATTTTGCATTAAATTCAAATATTGAGAATCAAAAACATCCCTTGTTATTCGTTTTTTCAATGTTGGTTTTATTTAGAAAATCAAAAGAACGAATGATACACGGATTGAAATAAAATATTTGTCTGATGTCCGGACCCTGATCTATTGAACTAATCAAGTAGGTGGACCTCGTGCCAATTTAATTGGGGACCCCTGATCTAGACATTATGATAAAACTAGCACTGGTACTAGTTCCAAATCTCAAACAACAATCAATCAAAAAACAGATTGGCGCTGTCTGTATTTAGTCCCGCTCCCTTTTCAAACCAATGTCACTGTTAAAATTGGGCACTTTTGGTGATTTTGGTGAGCACTGTTTATTGTTTTACATTACATGTTGCCAACATGAGCCAGCAACGAATAATGCAGAAGAGAATGGATAGCCTCCAGAGCAGGGACGCAAAGTGCACAATCCAAACGCATTCTCAGGATTGATTTGACTAGGTTTTCCAGATATATGTGAATGTCCAACCATTTTCATCCGTTTTATCTGTTGCTGCCGGCAGTTGTTTCCCACACTTTCTCCAGCTCATTCAGGGAAATCCCAAGGCGTTCCCAGGCCAGCTGAGGGACATAGTCCTTCCAATATGACCTAGGCTCGGAGCAGTGGGGGAGGGTCCCGGCTCAAAAACGTCCATGAGCATGTGTGCTGACACACTTGCAATACCACCCCAGTCCAGTGGGGGTGAACCCAGTAAGAGAACTAGCCAATGCTTTTTTGTGCCGTCTTCTTTCCTCTCAAAAACGGCTTTACAGGAAGATCCAAAAGTCGGCTCTTGGCTCAAAGCTACGTTTCAGGTGTGTGTGTCAATGCTGAGGGGTATTCTATTTTGTTTTTTTACCACTCTAGTTTAGCCGTTGTGGACTTCAGAAGGCACTCGTTAAATGAAAGGGCTGGTGCCGTCTAACGTCTGCGCAAATGCCTTTTTTCACATTTTCCTGCGGAATTGGGGGGCTGCCCAATTTTGAAAAAGCCACATAATAGTCAAAAGTGATGGCACATTATTTTCAACGGCGGAGAGAGGCGTGACTACGTCTGTTTATATTTACGTCTGTTCACTTACTGGCTCCTCTTGATGTGGAAAAGCAGCAGCTCTAATCCAAGCTCCTTCTGTGTGACCTGGCTCCTTATACAACTCCATTGTTAAAATAATATTTCACATTTTAAAATGTTAAAATACAAAATAGTCACATTATACCTTTTGTTGGACCAATAAATTGTATCATATTTATTCTTTAAAGAACTATGTTTTTCCTCATTAATAGAAAGTCCTACCTGTGCTTCACCTTTTACTTTTCATAAGCTCTTTTAATATATAATATTTTGTCTATATATACTTAATTTCTAAATCTATTTTTACTGTGCCAGGGTCCAAGTAGTTTTTCTTAGGCTTGGGGATCAATGCATTGTGTCCGATCAAACACAAAACCTTACACCAAAAATTACTGCCTTTGATAATTGCATCTTTATATCTAACTTTTTTGCATGCTCTGTTTTACCCTGCAAAGCTAAGGACCACATGCTTATAATCAGCGGATCATAAAACACACACTATAATGCCCAGCCATCAATACATTTTCTTCCCCTTAATCCATTTCTGGGTCAAGGGGGTGTCAGTCAGAGAACCAGCCCCTCACTGATCCTCCTGCAGGTGATGAGTCCACAGGAGGATGGCAGCTCTGTCAGTAACAACACAGCCTTGATCTTTCAGCGAGGAGAGGGGGGAGTCAGGCAAAGTGGGGTTAAGTGTGTCTTTTCTTGCCCAAAGACAGATCGACGGCAGACATCAGTGGGAGTCGGAGGAGATGGTCTCATGGTGGGACCAAACCCATGACCCTCAGGCTCAAAGGCTAACTGAGCCACTGTCACAACTGACACTATTATGCGAAATAAAAATAATGCATAATTCAATTAATACTGTGTTTTTCTTAAGGTCAGAAGCGATGTTCGTGGGGAGCTGATGCTGTTGGTACTGAAGTAATTGCAGTTGGAAAGACTTTTAATTTACACAGGCTTTATACCATATGAAGAAGATGACATGGTCTGGGATCGTGTCTTAAATTCAGACAGAAGACATGTTATATTGTCGATGGTAGAGACAGCACGAACAACACGAACACAGAATGCAAGTGTATTATACAGAGCGGAGGCATGGAGACCTCCAATCAGCAGCTTCCACGGTGCCATGTAGCTTGGCCTTCAGATAGACAAAACAAGGGAAAAGTACTGGCTTCTGCACATTGATAGAATGATGAGTTTAACTTCAACAAAAGTTGCTTCAAAGTGTTATGAAATCTCACATTCCCCCCTCTGGTCATACATTCACGTGTGACCATCAGGATCGATAAACAGCAACATAACATCATAACTCAATACTTCAAAAACTCAAACTCGGTACTTCACTCGCTACCTCAAAAAACTCAGAACTCGGAAAAAAATTTCAGATCTTTCATAAAACTTGTTAACAATCTTCAGTAAAATACCAAACTTCATCAGTTGATGGTGGTTCCAGATATTGCTTTGAAAACAGTCTCTCCCACTTCTCCGTGTTGGTTTCTTCAGGCTGCATTTGTGTCGAGCCACGTGTCTTTCAATCACACGTTTCAGCTTTAGTGTCCAGATTCAGCAATTCAATTCAGTCCAAATTATGTCCAAATTGTGTAATCCAATTGTTCCAAATTATGTCCATGCAAAAGAGGACGATGGTATTGTCCATGTCTCAGCAGCTCACAGCCTGACTGGAATCAGGGGTTGTGCAGATTGTCCAAGTGCTGATCCAGATGCATTCTCTTGAGGTTTCTCAATTTTGGCTTGAAAAAAAACAAACACATTTTTGTGTAAAAAAAAAAAGTCTTCTGTTCTGTAGATGTTACAGACAATGCCCGCATCCTCCACCACCTGAAGAAGATGACATGTCTGGGATAGGGATGTAAAAAACTATGAATTTTCATGACCGACCACCGAGCCTCATTAACCGGTTGAAACCGGTTAACCGCGTAGTTTAAAATAGTCCACGTTCTTTGAAATAACAGCCATTTCGAGCCGCGTACTTTTCATAAGTGCAGCTCTGCGTTCTACTGGATCAGAGTTGAGACAGCGGCGCCCAAACCCGCAACAGCTCCGGCACCTTTGCGCACAGAGAACTGCTTTTTTAATCTTCCCATTCTGCTGTGCTGCGGGTTAATACCAACACTTTCTAGCAGCAAACGACGGCTCGTTCACATGGTCAGAGCAGCGAGTGACGAGCCGCGTCTCACAGGTCTTCACAAAAGTTTAAATACAAGTGATGTGTGTGGAGCTGATCCCGAGGACCATAAACACAAACATGTCCCATGTGGTTTGACTGGAGCCGTGTGTTTGCGCGAATCCTTTGGGCTCCGTGACACAGAGGAGCGCGACAGACCGGTATGTGTGTGTGTGTATGTGTGTGTGTGTATGTGTGTGTGTATGTGTGTGTGTATGTATATGTGTGTGTGTGTATGTGTGTATGTATGTGTGTGTGTATGTATATGTGTGTGTGTGTGTAAATGTAAGCTCCAATGTAGTTCTGACCCGCGCCAGTGTGCAACTTTGACGGTAACAGAGGGGAGAGATGATGCGTGTGGATGTTACGTATGGAGAGGGGGAAAGTGTGTGTGTGTGTGTGTGTGTGCGCGCGTGCGCGTGTGCATATGTGGCTCGTGCGGCGTGAGAATCGTCCCGGAGTTTATAATACATGGGTGCACACAGCTAGATACAGACCCGCTCGTCACACCGTGCAAATAGGGCTTATAATAGCGTTATTAAGAGACCTCCCCTCTCCCCTTTTTCTCTTTTTTTAACCGACAGCTTTGACCGGTTAACGCTGTGACGGTCAACCACCGGTTAAACGGTCGCCGATTTACATCCCTAGTCTGGGATAGCGTCTTAAATTCAGACAGAAGACATGTTTTATTGTCGATGGTAGAGACAGCACGAACACAATCACAGATACAATAGAATGCAAGTGTATTATACAGAGCGGAGGCATGGAGACCTCCAATCAGCAGCTGTCACGGTGCCATGTAGCTTGGCCTTCAGATAGACAAAACAAGGGAAAAGTACTGGCTTCTGCACATTGATAGAATGATGAGTTTAACTTCAACAAAAGTTGCTTCAAAGTGTTATGAAATCTCACACATATATAGAGTGTCAGTATGAATACAAAAATGAAGTGTTGAAAAAACAGATCTAAAGTTTGATAATTAAAAAGTAGGCTCTGAATAACGAGACATGGCTGACCCTGTATGCACGTCGCCTTTGGGAGCTTGAAAATGTGCCTGGCCTTAAAAACAAGGCCGTCTCTATTTAAACACCATTACATGTGGGACATTAAACTCTTCAAACAGATCTTTTGTGATGGCGGCGGTAAAGCAAGGATAACAGTGAAAGTCAGACTGGAACCTGTGTGTGTGTGTGTGTGTGTGTGTGTGTGTGTTTGCCTGTGTTATTTCTAGTTACCTCCTGCCGTTCTAGACTCTGCTTTAATCCTTACTTATAACATGGTCAGTGAGGATTCCAGGGCAGACTTGCTGTTTAAACTACATGTAAAACTGCAGGAGGCCATATCACTCCGCCTCAGACTTCACCATAGTAACACGCAGTATAGTAAAAACCAAACTGTTGTTGTCTTTAAATAGATGATCAGTCACTCTTATACATGGTGGGCAGGATGAGGCTGAGTGATGAGCGGAGCTTTATACAAAGATGATCTAAAGAGATGCTCTAAAAATACATGCTTTGTGAAAACTATGAGTGAGAGACTCAACCTGTTGTTCCAGAGCCAGGAGGGGGAGGGGGGGGGGGGGGGGGGGGGGGCATTAGTTGGAAAACGGAGTTTAATTGACATGCGTTTTTTCAGGTGTGGTTTGAGAATTAGGGTAACAGCTTTTTATTCGTGTTGAATACCTACCAGCTTTGAAGCTAGTAAAAACACGGCACAATAAGGCACACCTCAAAAAACCTTCCACTTCATCCTCATAGTTGGAAAGTTTCTCACCTCCAGCATATAACTTCGCTGCTTCTGACCGACCCCTTCCAGCGCCTACACACTGGAACTGGGCGATTCGTGCCCGGGGCGTGGACCTCCTCATCTCCAAGCCGTGAAAAGTGTGGCGCCTTATCTGGAACAGAGACGAAAAGGCATCAAAAAGACTCCGAACCTCAGCACGCCCACAAAGACGCTTACACAACGCACATTAGTTAAGAAGAAAGAAGGCATACTCTTATCCAGTGCTTCAAGGTTCTGTGGCCTGGCTTTCCGGTGGCCTCAGAGAAAATACATCCTAGGACACCATGCTGTAGTATGGCTACAATATCCTCTGTTTTGAACTGTAAACATGTCACAAGGATTGGAGCACCCCGGTAAAGAGCAGGCGCCATGGTTTTTTTACGGATCCACCTTCACAGATGTGGGGGACATGCCTTTGAGTATTCAACTTTGTTTTTGAAAATTAACAATACTTTACTTTTAACAGTTGTTAATGTTGGCTGCACCACACTAGTTATGTGACCTTCTTATGGCATGTATTGTATCAGAGGGCCTCTGGTCTGGGAAAGTGGGCGGTGAAACTGCAGCCCAAATTAAATTGACACTTTGCTAAACGGATAAAAGGATCCATAACCGTTTTTTTAAGCAAGGGCAAGCATGACATATGTACAAATATCTTGATCCACAGAATCTTTACTGCATGATTTTCATATTTCCTTATTGCATCATCAGTTTATAGCTCTGATATACACAAGTACATTGTGTCAATCAATTAATCCTATTGGGTCAATAAAAATTCCCGACATTGACTCAAGCGTACCCCCTGTTACACCCGTGCAAATAAATTAGGGTCAGCTGTCGCGAACGTTCCTGTTGTCGCTGGGTTGTCTGATTCACCAGCACGCCACTTTCAAAAGTGCCCTTTCTGGCGGTGGGTAGGTTTAGGGTACTCAGAGGGTCACCCAAGCGCGACTTGGGGATGTGAGCCATCGCATACATGCCTCCACATCCCCTGTGGATATGATGTTGCACACTCCAAGGTAAATCCTCCAAGGCGTGAAGTAACTATGTCGAGCGCCGCTGTAAAGGTCGAGGTCGCTTCAATGGTAGTTTTATTGGGCCATTTTGTATATGAAATGGCATTTATGCAGAAGTGGAAAAGTATAACTTATAGCACAGTAGTTATAGCCGCTGTTCAATCCACCAAAACTATGTATATAAAAGTTCCCCACTAATGTTTTTTGACAGAGGTAACCCCTATGCAGCAGACAAGGGGGAGAACAGGCAAACCCCACAACAGAAGGGCCCGGCCTTGAGATGGAATTAACAACTCAGAACCGTCTTTCTGTCAAGCAGGCTAACCACTTGCGCCCCTAGTACATACTCCAAAAACATGTAGGTTTAATGTAAATAGTCCCTCGTCTTAGCCTTACTATACCCAAATAAGACTTGCTGGGGGGGAATAGTTTAGACTGATGACAAGGGCCTTTGTCGACCGGAATTTAAATATGTCTGTTCAAATCTGGAAACGGGTTTGGCGTGTTCCGTGAGATTAGACTGGGTCTAACCGATGGGCTAGCCTCGAGAAAAACAAATGGCATAAGTTTACCACTGTAAATCCTTAAATATGTCTATCTTTTGAAACTGTATGCGTATTCACTTGACTAATGTAGTAAAAACTAACTGGTGAATATTGACCTAGGACGTTCCATACGCACGAAGAGAAACATCAGCACTCGAGTGAGAAATCCAGCATTCAAATGGACAAGCGCACTAAAGCAGGCGTCCCATTTTTTGACTGAAAAAACTGTCCCAGCATGCACCGCGGCAGTGCCTAGTGCCTCAGTGCGTGAGGTCGTAGTGCTCCATCCCCGGCGCGGTTGATAACAATAGCTCCGCGAGACAGTGCACCCACTGCAGAGCCAAATATCAGGGTAAACTCATCTCACAACGAGTGGTAGGACCATCCCACGCCTGTCCGCTACCGTTTGAGTGACAGCGGCAGTTGGACGCGTTCGAGCCTTCTGGGAAAAGACGAAGACAGCCAGCCGGCGCACTGATCTCTTGGGCTGCGATGGCGATTAAGCTCCAAGATTCCTAAAGGTATATATTTATAATTCATAGCCGTTGTTAAAACGTTTTCTGCGGGGGGCAACGCAGGAGGAGGCCCCCGCTGCCAGAGAACGCCCCGTTTGGTACCTCAGGTGGGCCTTAGGGGCTGTGGTCCGAACTTTGAACCGGCGGCGGAGCGAGTCCCGAGTGTGTTGCTAAGACGGCCCTCCTTGTGCGTTGGCGTCTGCTAAGAGGGCGGTGCGACTTGTGTGCGCTCTCTGTCCATAGCGTCTTGCCCGGTCCTTGAGAGGGCGACGGCAATGGTGGAATTTGGCCAATCCGGCTTTCTCCCAGTTCATCACGTCGCCTTTAGTGTCGAGAGTCATCAGGATTAGGGCTTTCCTATCCTCCACCGGCTTGCTCCCCCGTGGGAGAGCCGCACCTTCTGTGTCCCTGGTCAGAATGCTGAGGCAGTTACTCTGGCATGACGTCGTCATTCAGTTGGGATGGCCACTGTTTGTGTGGTTCTGGGCCCCAAGAACGAGGGGCGCCCCGCTGTCGCCTCGGCGGCCCTGCGCACTGGGTTGCCACGGCTGTGCGGCGGGCTATCAGACGCAGAGGTCTGGCCCTCCCCGGTGGCTTTACAGTTGCCATTCCTTTTCCACGCGTGGGATGCGGCCTCTACGGCCCTTCTCAAGGGGGGTTTGGGTCCGAGGACGAAGCCGTGCGGCTTCTTTGGCTTCGTCCTCCTCCATTGTCCGGTCTTATCTTTGATTTGTCGTACCGGTCGGTGGCCCCATCCCGTGCTGAGTGCAGCGGACTGAGTTAGACCGTAGGTTCCCGCCTCGGAGGGGCCTTCGGGTTACTTTCCGCCCTGTTTTCAGGACTCTTTGGGAGAGGCAGTCCTACAGGTGCGGTACATATATGTGTGTGTTTGGTCGGTCCTGGTAGTCCACGTCAGGACCCTTGGGAGGCGTCCTGGGACACAAGTGAGGTCCCTATAATCTGTTTAACGTGGGGGTATCCTTGGTAGGCAGTGGCCCTGTAACACGCATTGTTTCGTCTGCCCTGTTACCTTCTCACTTGTGAGGGTCTTGCTCGGTGCCGGAAGCTCCATCACCCTTCGCGTGGCCTGCTGGGAGTACATTTTCCTACGGCCTCCGCGATGTGTCCACTAGCGTAGTCCTAAGGACGTAAGCACCATGTCGTAGAATTTATAGGTTACTTAATGTAACTTAAGTTCTACGAATAGGTGCGTATCCCTTAGCTACGAGCCCATCAGGCCAGCCCGGCTTGGCAGAGTTCAAGAGGGTGTGCGCCTTGTGCAGGGGCATTTATAGAGAAGGTGGCTGGTGATTGGGAGCAAATTAGTTTGATCTCTCTGGCGTGTGACCTGGGGGGAGCGACGCGACGAGTGAACTATCCCACTAGCGAAGTCCCGTAAGGACTACGCACCTATGTCGTAGAACTTAATGTATATGTACATTAGTTCTGACCGCGCCAACTATTAATTGGATTGTTACGTATGAGAGGGGGAAAGTGTGGTGTGTGTGTCTGTGTGTGTGTGGCGCGTGCGCGTGTGTGCAATTGGCCTTCGTGCGGCTTGAGAGTCGTCCCGGAGTTTATAAGACATGGGCGCAAACAGCTAGATACAGACCCGCGCGTCACATCGTGCTAATAGGGCTTAAAAGTGCGTTATTAAGAGACCTCACCCTTTTTTCTCTTTTTTAACCGACAGCTTTTGAACGGTTATCGCGGTGACGGTCAACCCATAACCAGGTTTAAACGGTCGCCTGATTACATCCTACTAACTCCGTATAAATGCACCTCTCTTTGATAGTCTCAAGGTTCTGTTTAAAGCGCAGAGAGAACATGAAGACAAAGGAAACAACACCAGGCAGGTCCGAGATACTGTTGTGGAGAAGTTTAAGCCGGATTTGGATACAAAAAGATTTCCCAAGCTTTAAACATCTCAAGGGCACTGGCAAGCAATTATAATGAAATGGAGAGGAGTATCAGACACTGCAAATCGATCCAAGACCCGCCGTTCCCTCCAAAACTTTCATCTCAAACAAGGAGCAGACGATCAGAGATGCAGCCAAGAGGCCATGATCGCCCTGGATGAACTGCAGAAACTAACAGCTGAGGTGGGAGAGTCCTGTCCCATAGCACAACCATCAGACTCGTGCACTGCACAAAACCATCTGGCCTTTAAGGATAGTATGGCAAGAATGAAAGCCATTTCCTCAACGATATCCACAAAATCCTTGGTTAAAGTGCCACAAGCCACCTGGGAGACACACCAACATGTGAAGAAGGTGTCTCCTGTCAGATGGAAACCGAAATCGAACTTTTGTTTTGGCCAAAATGCCAAAACGATAGTTGGCGTTAAAGCAACTCAGCTCATCACCCGAACACACCATCTCCCCGGCTACATCATCTGTAGTTATCCGGCATTCATCCAGAGTGATCATGGGCCTAACTTGGCGCATCTCTGATGCAGTCTCTCCTTGTTTTGAGTATAATTGTGGAGGACGCCGGGTCTTGGTAATTTGCAGTGGCTGATACTCTCCTTCCTTTTCAATATAATTGCTTGCACATGCTCCCTTGAGATGTTTAAATTGGGAACTCTTGTGTATCCAAATCCGGCTGTAAAACTTCTCCACAACAGTATCTCGACCTGCCTGGTGTTTCCTTTGTCTCATGGTTCTCCTCTGTCGCTTTAAACAGAACCTGAGACTATCAAAGGAGCAGGTGCATTTATACGGAGACTTGATTACACACGTGGCATTACTATTTATCATCATCATCTTTTAGGACAACATTGGATCATTCAAAGATCCCACTGAACATCTGGAGTGAGTTTGCTGCACTGAAAGTATAGGTGCCCGAAGAATATTGCACGCCCCACTATTCAGTTTTTAATTTGTTAAATAAGTTTAAATTATCAATAAATTTCGTTCCACTTCAACGATTGTGTCCCACTTGTTGTTGATTTCATGACGCAAAGAAAAAAATTAAAATGTTATATCTTTAATGTTTGGAAGCCTGAATGTGGCGAAATGTTGAAGCTAGGTTCAAGTGGCCGTATACTTTCGCAAGCACTGTCAAACATGTTCTCTCCCACGTACTCTCTGTTTTCCTCCGTTGCTGCTCCGGTTTTCCCTTACCAATAAAAAAAACCCAGGGTTACAATAGGTATGAATGTTTATGACGAGTGAATTGATGGTGTTGGGGAAACTTTGATGCTTCATTGCGTCGGCTCTCGCTTCTCGTCACACCAGAGGTGGTGGGGAACACACACAAAAACGTCATATCCACGTATATGGGAGGTCATTGTTTTACGTCCAGATGCGCACCTTGCACAGACGTCGTTTGGACGTAAATAAAAGGTCACGACCGACCGACGCGATATTGACGTGATCTGGAGGTTGAGTGGACGTCGGATGTTTAGTGGGAAAGAGCATATAGTGGAAGGCTGAAATATGAACTGTTGAAAAGAAAAGTTTTCATGAGAATTACAGTCTTTGACCATTAAAATTGAGATTCATATCCAATATTTCTTACAAACCTAACCCTAGCTTTGGGCTGTAGTGGAAAGTGGATGCTATAAACGCAGCAGCATCGCAGGTAGTTTTGTGAGCAGGCTGTGCAGGAGCAAGGGTGTATATTGACACCCCTTGTGGCAGAAATGGCATTTTAAAAGAAGTCATTCAGTGCTTAAATGAGCGCTGCTTGTGGCTGGTTTATGACCCTTCTGTACGTACGGCTCCTCCGATCCTCAGAGCTACAGCAGATGGCTTCCCCTCAATGCTCCCACTGTGACCATTAAATAATTAAAGCTCTCATCAAGACCTGAGCACGCCTTATGAAATGGCACAGAGCCAGACTGAGCTGCTTGGCAAGAGAAATAGAGGAGACAGCAAAAGCGTGTTTCACAACTAACG